TTGCCATGGACAGCACCAGGGCCGTCCATTCGCCGCCGCGTCGGTCATGGCGGCATGGGTAAATGCCGCGGAGCTGGCGCGGTGCTCGTACGAGTACGCATCGATCGCCTTGTCTCGGGCGGCCACGGCTTGGACGTCGTCGTCGGGCGGGTCCGTGGAGCCATCGCGCACGCCGTCGCCGAGTGCGGCGGATGGCAGCCGCCAGGAGGGCAGTACACCCCTGGGTTCGGGCCGCTGGCCTTGGCCTGGGGGTGGTACCTCGTGGGGTTCCTCTGCGGGCTCATGCTCGGGTTCTACTTCGAGCAGGCGCTGCGCCGGGCCACCGAGTTGGCGGCCGCCTGCAGCCGCGTGGTCAGCGCGGTCGGCGCGGCCGGCGCTGTTAGGCCTCCGGGGCTTCCTGGGTTGCTTGTGATGCCGCCTTGGCACCAGGCGGTCCGCGCCGAGCTTGTCGGTACGGGTCAGGGCCCGCGGCGCGTCATCCTGCAGCGCCTCCACGACGACGGCGACGCGGCGCTGGACCTGCTCGCGGCCGCTGGCGGCGTCACGCGGCGCGACGCGCTGGCGAGGGTGCTGCCTGCTGGCACTGTCGCGGCGCACACGGCGGCGTAGGGCCTGTAGTGCCCTGCCGAGCCTGCCCAGCAATGGGTTGCCAGGCAGTGGCTCTGGCAACCGTCCCCGCCAGGCCGTTGCGGCCGTGTGGCGCACCGCCGGGCGCTCCGCGAGCGCCGCCGCGCGCCCGCCCACCCGCCCGCTGGGTTGCTGGGCCAGGCTGCTGGCAACCACCCGCGCGCGGCCGCCAGGCGGGCCACCGGTGGGTTGCCGGGCCAGGCTGCCGGCAACCGCCCGCGCGGGGACGCCAGGCGGGGCGCCGGGCGCCCCGCGGGCGGCTTCGCCCCTGCCTTGCTGCAGGAGCTGCGCCGCCAGACCGCCAAGACCACCGCCGTCTTCTCGCCCACGCTGGCCCGCTACGAGAAGGAGCTAAAGGCGGCCGTGATCAGGTGCCGCCTCGACGGGCTCGGGATCGCCCCCCACTCGGCCCGCCGCGGTGTGCCGTCCACGGTCGCCCACCAGAACCTGTTCACGCTCGTGGAGATCAAGAAGAGAGGCAGGTGGTTGACGTCAAAGTAGATGGCCCGCTACGAGAAGAAAGAACACTTGCTTCGCCAGATTGCTCTGATGGGACTTCGTGCCGTGGCGCGTGGTGCCGTACTCTTGGAGTGCAAGATGGGGGCCACGTCTTCCATTCTCGCGGCCTGCCCGTGATGATGAGCAAAATGGTCGCTGGTCGCCTCCCTCTCGCGATGGATTGCGTTGCTTGTCCAGATACCCACCCGCCCTTCGACAAGACCGATGGGTTGGCAGTTTGGCTGCATGTGTTTTTTGATGTTTTTTGTGTTGCTGCATCTGCAAGCGATCCAAAGTCATGGTGTATCCTCGGCGGCTCCGCCGAGCATTGAGTCGCAAACGATGAGCTTCCGGTCGGACCCTCCCGCCTGCTGCTCCTCTGCTCTTCTTCGTTTGTGCCTGTGCGCCAGCGCCCGTCAGGGCCCCGCTAGCAGTCATAGTACTTTCCACTTGCGTACGCAGTTTATTCCGAGCGGGAAGGGTTGGTTCCGAAGGCACCCGATCCGCCTTCCCTGTTTTTCCTGATGTTCAGTTCGTTTCGATATGTATTGTTCGGCCGCGTGATTTCATTCACGATATCGTGATGTGGTTTTTGTGTTGCTGCATCTCGAGGCGATCCAGAGTCGTGGTGTCTCCTCGGCGGCTTCGCCGAGGATTGAGTTGCAAATCGTGAGCATTTGGTCGGACCCTCCCGTCTGGTGCCCCTCTGCTCTTACTCGTTTGTGGCGGTGCGCCAGAGCCCGTCATGGCCCCGCTAGCCGTCATAATAATTGATGTTCTTACGGTTCTGTGCGCACCCCGATTGTTTTCGGAGTTTCAAAATGGCGATCCCGCTGCAGCGTGAGCCTCAGTTTCGGACTGCTCCTGTCTTTCAGAAATGCGCTCCCGCCCCAGGACGGGCCGCTTTTCTAGATCCGAATCATTTTTCATTTTTGTTGCCTCCCTGATATCCCCTCCTTCACCTTCCCTTGGTCCTGCTGCTCCTCCTCGTCCTCTTGTTCCTCCTCCTTCTCATTTTCCTCCTCCTCCTCCTCCTCCTCCTCCCCCTTCTTCCTCATACTCTTTATTCTCCTGCTGTTCACCATCCTGCTCGCCTGCCACCTGCTCCTCCTCCTCCTCCTCCTCCTCCTCCTCCTCCTCTCCTCCTCCTCCTCCTCTCCTCTCTCCTCCTCTCTCCTCCTCTCCTCCTCCTCCTCCTCCTCCTCCTCCTCCTCCTCCTCCTCCTCCTCCTCCACCCCTCGTCGGCGGGCAGGAGATCGACAAGGCGTGCAGGAGCGTGCATACGGCGAGACGGCCAGGCATGTTCGGGGAGAGCTCCGGCGTCGCGCTGCGCTTCGCCGGCGGCCGCCTGCCGCGGTCGGCGCCGCGCGTGCGGGCGCGCCCCATCCCCCCCCCGCGTGCCAGCGATGCTCTCCAGCTACCCCTCCTCCTCCTCCTGCTTTTCCTCATGACTCCTCCTCCTCTTCTCCTGCTCCTGCTCCTGCTCCTCCTCCTCCTCCTCCTACTTCTCCTTCTCCTCCTCCTCCTCATCCTCCTCCTCCTGGGTGAGGCCATGGCCTCGCCCGCCTGGTCTTCGCAGGCCCAGGCAGCTGTTCGATGTGGTGTCCGTTCGTTCGTTCGTTCGTTCGTTCGTTCGTTCGTTCGTTCCTCCTTCTCCTCCTCCTCCTTTTCCTCCTCCTCCTCCTCCTCCTCCTCCTCCTCGTCCTCCTCCTTCCTCTCCTCCTCTTCCGACGTCTCCTCCGATGCCTCCGCCTCCGCCTCCACCTCCACCTCCGCCTCGTCCTCCCTCCCTCCCCCCGAGGTGGCTTCTCTGCGTCGGCCGCGCGCGGCCCCCACTGCGGCGGGCGCGGGCGGGGCAGGGCGCGGGCCCGCCGCGCGATAACCCCCAGCGCTGCTGCGCGACGGCCCTCGCGGGAGCCCGCTCCCCGCCGCGGCACCGTCGGCTGCGCCGACGGCGGGCCGAAGCGCGGGTGGGACTGCGGGCGCTGCGCGACCAGCATCTGCTTCGAGAGGACCACGGCAGTGCGCCGCCCAGTCTCCCCAGGCGTGGGGCTCGGCAGCTCGGTGGCCGTCGGCAGAGCTGTGAAGGGTGAGGGCGGATGCCAATACCCCAGCTGCGGATGCCGCGAAAGTCAGACGTGGTGGCGGTGGTGCAAGCACTGCAGGCAGGAGCTCCGTCCTACCCAGGTTCCTCGGCGCCCTCGCTCTGGCAGTAGGGGTGAGCCGAGGACCAGGCTGCCGTGGTATGGCGGTGGAAGCAGACAGCTGAACTCTCGGCAGCGGCTTGAAGGAGTTACCCAGCGACCGTTACGCCGACCCCGAGGAAGCCAAGCTGGTACAGCTCATCAGCCTGCTCCGCCTCAGCGCGCGCGAGTACCAGGACCAGCTCGATGCCCTGAGCAGCGCCCGTCGCTCGGAGGCCCTGTCGGTGGATGCTGCGATGGTGGTCTGTGACGAGGTTGCAGTTGCCCTCCAGCATGCTGCCGAAACGAGGCCGATTAACTTCAGCGGAAGTTCGAGGCCGCTAAGGAGCGCGCGACTGCCCGAACTACCAGGCACGACGGCGCCATGGCCGTCAAATGATACATCTGTATATATATATATGTATAGGTGAATACATGAATAAGTGTGTATATATATATGTATATGCACCTGTCTATACATGTTGCTTGACACTTACATACTGCCATCTCTCCCCTTTTTGTTTGTGTAGGATGCAAGGCTGTTTCGACATCTGGCCCTCTTGTATTGCTGGACAAACATTGCACCCACCCTTCCCGCAATCATTTCGAAAGGTGGGATTCCATAGTCCTCTGTTCCTGAAAAGTAGTCGGCGTTGGCGTAAGCGGTGGATCCTTGTGAAGTCCAGTGCGCCGCCCGCTGTCGTCATTCTTCACGGATTGTCCACGTTGAAAAAGTCGTCCCCCTCCCTCTCTCTCTCTCTTTCCTCATTTCCCCCTTCCCTCCACTCCAACCTGCTTGTCCTCACTTCTGCCGCAGCTTACTTCCCCTTGACACAGCCTGACAGACAGTCATCTAGCCACTCAAGGTTCCACGACTCCACACTCCACCGTTTTGCTGGGCATCCATCGTGATAATTTAATGTGGCCGGTCTTTGTGCCAACCGGCGCGGTGTGGAAAGCAAACGGAGAGAACAGTGAGGATCAGCAAGGAGAAGGAGGAGGAGGACGAGGAGGAGGACGTGGAGGAGGTGGAGGAGGAGCAGGAGGAGGGGGAGGAGGGGGAGGAGGGGGAGGAGGGGGAGGAGGAGGAAGAAGAGGACGTGAGGGGCCCTGCGCGGTCCCCCTTCTCGAGGAGGTACCCGAACTCTCTCGTGGTGGCCCCTCCCTGCGGTCGCCCGTAGCGGGGCCCCAAATTGCTGCGGGCACGGTTGGGGCCCAACGCCAAAAAGCACCCTGCTCGCCTCCAGGGCGCCCTGGGTCTCTTGGGTGCCGACGGTTTTGCGGTGGAAAGAGTGACGCTCCCACACCAATCGGATATAGCCAGGACCCCCGGTGAGGGGACCCGGTTAGTAGTAGGGCCCTGGAGCACCTAAATTGGCCAGAATCACTAAACCAGGTCTGCCGTAGCTGGTGTTTTTTCGGGTGACGGCAGTTCCGGTTAGTGGAACGGGTCGAGGGGGGGGCCCCCCAGTACACGTCACTAAACCAGGTCCCACTAAACCTAGTTCTGCCAACGCCCGAACCAAGAATCGATGGACGCCCTGGGGTCTCAGGGTTGGATTTCTTGTGGAGGGTCTCTTGTGGTCGGGCCCCTAATTACTGTACTCTCTGACTGAGTCGCCTCCCCTTCGCCGGATGCGTGACACTGCCTCCTTTCGCACAGCCAAGCGCTGCCTGCTAGGTGCCTCGATGCGGCTCCTGTCTTCCTGTGTGTGTGTGTGTGTGTCAAACCCCGCGGAGGCGAGCATACTTTATCACACGGAGACAGCAGCGTTATTTTTCGATATTCGTATGTGTATATTTCCATCCAAATAAATCCGTAAGGAGCTTTGTGGGTTTGCGTGGGCCCTCGGCTCCCCGAGCCCCCCGGAGAGCCCGAAGGCGCCTGGTGGGCCCCGAAACGGCACGGAGCTCCCCAGAAGAGCCCCGAGACGGCCCAAAGAGGCCCCGAGGCGACCAAAGACAGCCCCGAGATTGCCCAAGACCGCCCTCAGACGGCCTACGATGCTCCCAAGACGGCCCCATAGGCCACCAAGACGCCCCAGGACGGCTCCGAGGGGACACTCTCGGGGGGCCCGAGAGGCCGGAATCGTAGATTTTCCGAGGGTTTCCTTTGGATTCTGAGATTCTCGCGCTCTCAACCGTCTGGACCCCCAAGACGGCACAAGAGGCCTCCAGGATCGCCCCGAGACGGCCAAAGAGGCGCCCAAGAAAGCCCCACGAAAGCCCCAGAGGGGCCCAAGGGGGGCCCAAGAGGCCCCCAAGACGGTCCAATAGACCCCCATGCGGCCCGCAAGACAGCCCAACAAGCTCCCAAGAGGCCACCAAGACAGGCCAAGAGGGCCCCGAGCCTGCCCAGGAGGGCCCCAAGACGGCCCTGATGCTGTCAAGACAGCCCCAGAGGGCTTCACGCGCCCGAAAAGAGCCCCAGGAGGACCCCCAGGAGGGCTTGAAGAGGCGAAAATCCTCGATTCCACGTTGGTTGTCGATCGCACACCGCAGCTTGCTGGCATTTGCGCGCCGGAAACCAAAGCGCGCGTCGGCAAATCTCGACTCACGCAGCTCCGTGGATTTAATCCACGGGCCCACACTTGTATGCATATCTATATATATATATATGTATGTATGTATGTATGTATGTATGTATGTATGTATGTATATATATATATATATGTATATATATATATACATATATGAAAGAGCGTGTTCTACCGCTGCTGGCGGAAAACCGGGGGGGGTCACTACCGGTTCGAACCCCTCCCCCCCCCCTCCCCCCTCCGGAAAACCGGGGGGGGTCACTACCGGTTCGAACCCCTCCCCCCCCCCCAGCTCATCATGAAAAGGGGGGGGGGTCACTACCGGTTCGAACCCCTCCCCCCCCCCCCCTCGAAAACCGGGGGGGGTCACTACCGGTTCGAACCCCCCCCCCCCCCCCCTCGAAAACCGAGTGGGGGTGCGGACAGTGGTGGGGACGGTGTTGGTGGGGACAGTGGTGAGGGGATAGCGGGACAGTGGTGGGGACAGTGGGACAGTGGGACAGTGGTGGGGACGGTAGTGGTGGGGACAGTGGTGGGGACAATGGTGGGAACAGGGGGGACAGTGGACAGTGGTGGTGACGGTGGTGGTGGGGACAGTGGTGTGGGGACAATGGGAATGAGGTGGAAACAGTGGGACAGTGGAGGGTACAATGGTGGTGGGGACAGTGGTGAAGGCGGTGGCGAGGACGGCGGTGGGACAATGGGACAGAGGTACAGTGGGGACAGTGGTGGGGACAGTGGGGACAGTGGTGGGAACAGTGGGACAGCTCAGTGGGACAGCGGAGGAGTCAGTGGGACAGTGGGGACAGTGGGGATAGTCGGGCAGTGGTTGGGGCCGTGGAGACAGTGGGGAGAGTGGAACCGTGGTGGGAACAGTTCTGGGGACAGCGGGGACAGTGCGACAGTGGTGGGGCCACTGGTGGGGACAGTAGGGGCGGTGGTGGAACCAGTGGGGACAGCGGTGGTGAGGACAGTAGTGCTGGGAACACCAGTGGGGGATGTGATGCGGACGGTGGTGGGGACCGGGAGTCGTTTGCTGGCGGTGAGTAGGGGGGGGGGGGGGGTTCGAACCGGTAGTGACCCCCTCCGGTTTTAGGATCCGAAGGGTAAGGGGGGGGAAGGGGTTCGAACCGGTAGTGACCCCCCCAGGTTTTCCGGATCCGGAGGGGGGGGGGGGGAAGGGGTTCGAACCGGTAGTGACCCCCCCCCGGTTTTCGAGCGGGAGGGGGGGGGGAGGGGGAGGGGTTAGGGGAGGGGGGGGTTTTGCCGGGGGAGAGGGGGGGGGGGGGAGGGGTTCCAGCAGGGGGGGGGGATTTTCGGAGGGGGGGGGGGACCCCCGGGTTCCGGAGGAAAAAGTTTGCAATTTTCCATCAGTAAAGCGGCGGTGGATCACGCTCTCTCTCTCTCTCTCTCTCTCTCTCTCTCTCTCTCTCTCATATATATATATATATATGTATATGTGTGTATATTTATATACACACATTATATCGGAGGTGGGGGGGTGAGATCGAAGTGGAACGGACAGCCCCCTACCGGGAAATCGATTTCGGTTTCGTGTTCGTGCTGCGTGCCGTGCGGGCGAGGCGAAGCTGCGTGGGCGGGCGAGAGAAAGTCTCCTGTGGCTGAGGCGCGGCCGGACCAAATGATCTCCCTTC